GTGACCCCAAAGAGTATTTTCATCAAATATATGTTGGGATCATTGATGCTTGCAAAGTTGCCATTGAACAGAGGTTTTCAACAGAAAGTTTTACATTCGCAGTAAAATTGGAGAAGCTTATAACTGAGGCAGCAGATGGTTCGAAGCTGAACATTGTCCTAATAAGTGAAGCATTCCATGGTGACATTAATACGGAGAAGTTATTTCTTCATTTAGAAATGTTGAGTGATATTTGCAGATCGAGAAATTGCCAGCTTAATTCAGGGACTAAAGTGAAGCAATTTCTAAAACAAAAAGAAGGCTTGAGAGACATGTTGTCAGAAATTACAATTCTCCCGAAATTATTCTACACAATTCTGACTACAATCTGCACCGCTGAGCGATCATTCAGTTGCTTGCTGACTGAAAAATTATTTGCGAATGACAAAGGGCCAAGAATGTTTAAATCACTTGGCATTTATTCACGTTCATAAGAACTTTACCTCTGAATTGGACATTGCAAGTCTCCTGGATGAATTCATTTCAAGAACCAAAAAACGATGAAAAGTGTTTGCTGCCTCCTGAAGAACATTGCAAAAGAAGGGGCTATATTTGTTTTGCTTTTAAAAAGTACTTGCTTTTGAGGATTAGTGATCAAAGAGTACTTGGTTGTTTACATATTCAAAAGAGTATTAATAACATTGATAGTCTTAGTTAAATATTTTTTTCTTACGATAGTGATATTGTGCAATAAAGGGAAACTGTTAAACTCTTAAGGCTGTGTCTAGACTGGCAAATTTTTCCGCAAAATCACATGATTTTGCGGAAAAACTTGCCAGCTGTCTACACTGGCTGCTTGAATTTCCGGAAAAGCACTGACAATCTACTGTAAAATCATCAGTGCTTTTCCAGAAATACTATGCTGCTCCCGTTCGGGCAAAAGTCTTTTTCCGAAAGACTTTTGCGTGAAAGGGCCAGTGTAGACAGCATAGTACTGTTTTCCGCAAAAAAGCCCCGATCGTGAAAATGGTGATCAGGGCTTTTTTGCGGAAAACCGTGTCTTTTTTGCGGAAAACCGCATCCTGCCAATCTAGACGTGCTTTTCCGAAAATGCTTTTAACTGAAAACTTTTCCGTTAAAAGCATTTTCGGAAATTCATGCCAGTGTAGACGTAGCCTTATGGTTTCCAGTCCATTTTTACATTATTTAATAAAATCTATATCGGCTTACAGGATGGGTGGGTGGGAAGGTGGGGAGAGGAGAATAGACCCATTCTGGGCACCACCAAAAATTATACAAACCTGCCACCCATGTCTGGGATTCATGATTTCTCACAGCAAATGCTGGAGTTCACAGCAAGGATTGTCATTCAAGTAATGCAAAAGTAAGCTGGAAGCTCAGGAAGGGCTGGAAAGCAAAGGGGTGGCTGACAGGATGTTTTTCATGTTCCAAAAATGCTACAGCTACGTTGTGCATTCCCACAGTGCTTAGCGACTGAAACTATTACCAGGTTCTGTGGGATGCTTACATATATTGTTTTGCTCTTTCTGTTGAAGGGAAGCTAACAATGTGGCCATGATATGTCAACATTGGGTGGCAGAAAAACAGGTTTGATGAGTTTTCAGTTTTGGCGACTTCTGTATGTTGACAGTGCTTTCATAACCAAACCTTCCCAGTGTAGATGTAGCCTAGATACATACAGTCTGACTTTCAAATCTTTTATCAAATCCCATCTCTGTCAGATAGATTCTCCTTCTCATGACTAACAAACCCATTAATGCTCCTTTGTTCTAAGACTGTAGAGGCATTAACTGCCCATTTTATCTTGAATGAGCTTCCAATAAAAGGCTACGTCTAGACTACATGGCTCCGTTGACAGAGCCATGCCGGATCAGCTGATCATCGGCACAGCGCAGCGGCCATTTTTATTTTAATGAAGTGGGGATTATTTAAATCCCCGCTTCTTTGACTATGCCAAATAAACTATTTTACATGGCTCCGTCGACGGAGCCATTTAGTGTAGACGTAGCCAAAGAGGATAAGATAATATATTACACTGGACCAAGTTCTGTTGGTGAAGGAGACAAGCCTTTGAGCTATGGGACAGACACATACAACAATGGCAGATATTCCTTTGAATGATCTCTTGCAGCATGTGCTAACTCCTTGTCTGTTCCACTTTGGCTACGTCTACACTAGCCAGTCTTGCACAAGAACATATGCAAATGAGCCACCATTTTGCGCGAGGGGCTTTTGCGCAAGAGCTGTTCTGCCTGAAAATAAGCAGCAGAATGACGTTTGCACAAGAGGGGGGTTTTGCACAAGAAAAAGCACTGTAGACTGCTCCTTCTTGTGCAAAAACGCCTTGTGCAAAAATGGCAGCTGATTAAGTATGCAGCTGAGGCATGGCGATATTCATTGCCGCACCTCATTTGTGTATGTTCTTGCACAAGATTGGCCAGTGTAGAGTAGACATAGCCCAAGGTTTTTGCGCAAAAATGTCCATTTTTGCACAAAAACCTGCGGATCATCCACACCTCAAATGCACTTTGGCACAAGCAAATCAGAAGTAAAACAGCAGAAAAGAGGGCTTTTGCCGGTGTAGGTAAACCTTCTTCTATGAGGCATAACTCCTTTTTGCGCTACAGCTATTGCTGTGTGTGGACACTCCAGAGGGATTTCTTGTGCAAGAAACCCATATGGGAAAAAGTACAGGTGCTCTGATGGCCATTCTGTGAATGGCCATCAGAGCTTTCTTGCAGTGTGGACACTCTCTTGTGCAAAAGCACATCACTTTTTCTATGTGCTTTGAGGTGTGGATGTGCTCTTGCGCAACAAGTTTTTGCACAAGAAATCTTGTGCAAGTCTTGTGCAAGAAGCCTGCAATGTAGACGTAGCTTTTGTGTTTAACTCTGGCACTTTGAGTACCTTTCCTAGAGCTGAGGAAGATCTCTGTGTAAGCTGTAGTATTTTTAGTTTAGACATACCCTAATGTCAATCATTTAGGTAGTGTTTTCTATATTGATAAAAAAAAAACCTTCTTCTGTCCTGTGTCTATCAATGGGTTCTAGTGATGTCCCCCAAGGGTCAGTCCTGGGACCAATTCTGTTCAACTTATTCATAAATGATCTGGAGAAAGGGGTAAGCAGTGAGGTGGTAAAGTTTGCGAATGATACCAAACTGTTTAGGATAGTCAAGACAGAAGCAGACTGTGAGGGACTCCAAGAAGATCTCACCAAACTGAGTGACTGGGCAAAAAAATGGCAAACGAAATGTAATGTGGATAAGTGTAAAGTAATGCACATCGGGAAAAATAACCCCAACTATACGTACAGTATGATGGGGGCTAATTTGGCTATGACAAATCAGGAAAGAGATCTTGGAGTTATCATGGATAGTTCTTTGAAAACGTCCACACAGTGTGCAGCAGCGGTCACAAAAAGGCAAATAGGATGCTAGGGATTATTAGGAAAGGGATAGAAAATAAGACACAGAATATCTTACTGCTCCTGTATAAAACTATGGTATGCCCACATCTTGAATACTGTGTACAGATGTGGTCTCCTCACCTCAAAAAAGATATTTTGGCCTTGGAAAGGGTTCAGAAAAGGGAAATGATTAGGGATTTGGAACGGGTCTCGTATGAAGAGAGGTTATAATGACTGGGACTTTTCAGTTTAGAAAAACAGGATACTCAGGGGGGATATGATAGCAGTATATAAAATCATGAGTGGTGTGCTGAGGGTGAATAAAGAAAAGTTATTTATTAGTTCCCATAACAGAAGAACTAGAGGACACCAAATGAAGTGAATGGGTAGCAAGTTTAAAACTAATAAAAGCAAGTTCTTCACACAGCATGTAGTCAACCTGTGGAACTCCTTGCCAGGGGAGGCTGTGAAGGCTAGGACTATAACAGAGTTTAAAGAGAAGCTAGATAATTTCATGGAGGTTAGGTCCATAAAAGGCCATGAGCCAGGGGGTAGGAATGGAGACCCTGGCCCCTGTTTGTTAGAGGCTGGAGAAGGATGGCAGGAGACAGATCATTTTGTCTTCGGTCCACCCTCTCTGGGGCACCTGTGCTGGCCACTGTTGGCAGACAGGCTACTGGGCTAGATGGACCTTTGGTCTGACCCAGTATGGCTGTTCTTATGTTCTATACTAGGGGACTATATCAACATAGCTATACTAGCATAGGCTCCATAGTGTAGACATAGTCTTAGGCTTTGTGTACACTGTATCTTATGCTAGCATAATTTATGTCATTCAGAGATGTGAATAAATACCCCTTTTTATTATATCAAAAGTTACATTGACATAAGTGCCTGCGTGGATAGCACTTTCCCACTGACATAGCTTCTGCCACCCAAAGAGGTGGTTTTATTATGCTAATGGAAGAATTCTCTTGCATCAACATAGAGCATCATCCCCAGATGTGATGCAGCAGTGCAGCTGCATCAGTACAGGTGCTCCATTAGTGAGTTTGCTCTTTGTCTTGTATCTCTTGACATCAATGGGAGTTTTGGGTATGTAAGATATTTAGAACTGTGCTATCAACATATTTTTCATCTTATCAATGAAGGGAGTTCAGGGGGTCCATGGTGAGATTGCAGTTTGCCCAAATTGAGCAAAGTGTAGGACCGACAACATCCCAAACTGATGGTTCTTGCACTAGTTAGATTCACCAAGCCAGCAACAAAACAGCTTCTGCAATACCCTTACTGCCCCATTTCTCAAACTGTGGGTCCTGATCCCCTGGGGGTTGCAAGCAACTTAGAGGGGGGTCGCGGTATCACAAAGCTTGAGAAGCCCTGCCTTATTGGTTATCCAGAATCTCCCCCCCCCCAAACCCCAGTTCCCTTAAAGTGACCCAGCTTTGGGCTCCCCTCCCTAGACAGCCAAGTCAAATACAATGAGGATCAGTGAAAATCTTGTTTATTATGTAAACAGTTTTACCAATCCCAAAGAACCAGGCACAGAAATCTTTAAGGTGCTGTGTCACTAAGGGAGAGCTAAATTAGGCAGGGGTGATTGATGGGTGGGGAGTGCTCTTATTCTGGACAGCAGATATGGCTGGGAGCTTGTCTCCGAGTGTGAAATACTGGCCGTTTGCAGCAAAAGCTAGTTTTTCCTTTGGTATCGACAGGGCCAGCACGCATGTCACTCTCTGTGCCTGTGGTGCCCTGCTCGATACGGGACTAGCGCAGATCCAGACGGGGGAAGGGCCGGAGCCCGGAACTCCGTTGTGGGGGGAACAAGTTTCCAGCCGGAATCCGCAGCTGAGCTCCGTCCTTCGCTCCCTTAGTTGCTTGGTTACGCCGCCGACAGCGAGCTAGCGGGAGCGGAGGGTGTGCTCTTGATACTGGCTCGGCTGCGACGCACCCTGCCGGGGTTGGCGGCAACGCGGTGTGTTGAGTGGCCGGGCACCCGTCCGGGTCCGCGCCGGGATGATGCTGGAGCAGGACAACGGGCTCTCGTTGGCCATCGCGCAGATCGTGCAGCGCCTGAAGGGCTCCAGCCTGCACTCCCAGCTGGAGCGGCAGGCCCGGGTGAGCCCATCCTCGGCCGGCTGCCTCCCGGCTCCCGCTTGGCCGTCCCCGCCGTGCACCTGCCCCTTTCTGCTTCCCTTGCGGCCTTTCTCCGTGTCCCTCTCAACATCTTCCCCCTGCCGCTTGTCCTCTCTGCCCCCCATGGGAGGACGCACCACGCCCAGCATTCGGCCCTGGGAGCGCGGGGACCCGGTGTCTGCCCTAAACCCTTCTGCAGGCTTAACTGTCAGGGCCGTATTCATAGCCTCTCCCTCGGGGAGGGAGGGCTTTGCGGTGTGTATTAATACTATAATATGGTTATGACCACACTCATTCAGATTTTCCATCAACTGAATTGGATCGTTTTTTAATCTTTAATTGAAAATGGGTTTTTAACTCCTCCTTCTGCAGTGCGTCCCCTCAGAATTTAGGAGTTTAGCGAAAAGGAAGGAAAATGAACGAAAGATGCAACAGAAAATGATGCTGCAGAATAATTGCAGTCTTTTGTTCTCGCCAGTGTTCTTAAGGCTTGCACTTTACACCAAATTTTAGATTTTAGGTGTTCATAAAGGTAACCCCCCACCTTGTCCTAATAGGTGGACATTCTGTCCTATCTATCGATGGTTTATGTGGAATTGCCACAAACATTATTATGACCTGAAATTAATTTGTAGCTTAAAATAGTCCCCACCCCTTTTTCTGTGGACATCTAGTTTTATAGTTCATGGCAATATCTGTTTGCATGATCTTATTTGATATATCTTTATAGTATCTTATCTTACACCTGCTTGTTTATTAAATGTATTGTTCTACGTCAGGGCTATGATCTTGCAAACGCACACATGCTTAACATTTTGAAGGACAGTGCTTGGTCATTCCTTCAGGTTAATAATTTGCAATGCCTACATTAATCTGGATTTATATTAGAAATGGTTATTTAACAGAATGGGCTATTTAAATTAATACTATCAACTTAAAGATTAATACTGTCAACTGTAAACAAATCCTTTGTTTCTCACAGACCCTGGGATTATTAATGCTGAAAGAATTTTAAACATCCAGTTTTTGTTTCTTTTTTCTTTATGCCTTTCTTTTTTGTAATAATAACATCAATTAAGTCAATTTAACTTTTATCTGGTATATATTTTGTTTTCAGGTTCTGCATTTCTAACTTTAAAATAATCTTGGAACCATTTTTTTGGTATTTTACATTTTATTTTGGTATTACATTTTGTAAAATCTTGGGGGAGGAGGGGTTCACCACAGAATTTAAATTGTGAACCATATTTAAATTGTTAGTATTTCTTAGGTTGTACACATGGTGTTTTAGTGGGTAAAACAAATGATTAGTTGTTTGTAGCATTGCCTGCATTAGTCAAGGTTACATTCCATGGCTGTTCACCTTTGAATTCCATGATTCAATACTCTGTCAATCTAATTTACATCTTTCACATTGTTTGGGTTCTGTGCAGGAGCATGTCTTTTAACTTTTTATGTCAACATCAACTTTCAACAAGATTATGCATTGGACCCTGACTTTGAATCTGTTAGTGTTGTCCCTGAATGTCATTGTTATTAATAGCCTTGAAAGGATTGGATTGTTATTGGTAAATGTTGATTTTGAGTTAAGGATATTTGTATATTTTGATGTACAATATTGACAGTTTGTGTATTAGCACTTTAATTTTGAGTCTCAACATTTGCTGTAATTAAATAATTGTGTGACTAGCTATTGGCTATTGTCCTTCATAATGTCCCATAGTTTTTGAATTATGTGAAATGTAAATAGACGAAATGAAAATAAACATCTAATTATGATGGATTATATAGAAAAAATGTTAAATATAATTTGTCTCCTGTTCCAGATCTGTATCTTCTGCTCTCTTGTTTATGTAGATAAGTAAATGAACACAGTGCTATGTAGGTCATAACCAACACAAAAGATTTGTAATTTAAACATGCAACTGGAAACCAACAGTACAAACAGAACAGAACATAATGACCACAGCCCAAGCCCTCTTAAAAACTTCACAGAACAGGTGGATTTTAGAAGTTTTGTGAAAGGAGATGGAAGGAGCTTGATACGTATTAGCAGGGAGATTATTCCAGTCATACAAAGAAGGTAAAGGAGACAGGGTAGATTGACCAGATTATTCCAGTCATACAAAGAGGAGGTAGATTGACCAGTTTTTCAGTATTGCAATCATTTAGGAGACGAGAGCAGAGATGTAGAGTAGGATGAAACTTTGTAAAGGTGAAGAGATCAGCTTGAAATTGACATTATTTAATGTCTACCTACAAAACATTTCTAAATGTTATGAGCTGTTTTCTTGGGATTTGTAGTTTAAATGAATATGAACAAAGCTGAGGTTGTTTTTCTTAGCCCCGATTGATATTGTTCCATTCTTTATTTTTGCTTATTAAGAGGTTACCTTTGGATCTTCTGTTTTTCCAGGAATCTGTATTGTCTTTGATCCTGAGTTAATTTATGAACCTCACAGTTACCATCCCCTTATCAAATAATATAGATTTCACTTATTTTTTTTTCTGTCAAAACTTGATCTGTATTGAAGTTTTCTCTATACTATATGGCAGTATTTTTTTGGGGGTGCATGTGGGTAATCCATGCCCTCAAATTACTGCTTAATTACTCAATTACTGCTTAATTCAGCCCAATAAATTGGCTACCTTTGAAACTGCAGATTAGCAAGATTTTGTACACATTTTTATGCAAGACACCTCAACTGCTATTTATCTCTGGAACGTGATCTATATTCTGGTCTGCTTGTTAGATATATTTATTTTCTTGACCTGAAAGTTGTGGTATAAATAACGATGTATTAATAGCAGTATTAAACAACATGTAGCCCCATTTTAGATCTGTTTTGCTGCTGATCTAAATTCTTCCAAGACAAAACTTAAAACTTTATTTTAGTTACTTTTTAGCTTTTATTTGTTTTTAATGTTCATACTATTATAAAATAACTTTGGGAGTGATATATAAACAACACAGTAAACCTTCAAATCATTCAAAAATCACTCTTCAAATTTTTTATATACACATTTGTATGTACATCCTGACACTTATCAGATAGTGTAAGTCAAAATTTTTGTGTGCATATAGTGCCCTGTTACAGTTTGTGTCCAGAGTTTTTTAGAGTTAGTGATATTTATTGAGCCTAATTAAAACGTTGGGGAACTAATATTTAAAATAATACCAGAATTCTTGCTATACTCATTAATATGTTTTTAACTTTTTTTTAAGTGCTAGGAGACAGAGCCAAAAAAACTGTTTCTGTTGTCAACTTACAAAATTTTTGAAAATTAGATTTCTTAAGAATGAAGTTTATGAATGTCTTTAGACTCTGAGTAGAGAGATGAGTCAATTATGTTTTGGGGGTACAAAAAAGAAAGAATTCTCCTTTATTTCTTGAATTTTCATTTGTGATATATTAATTGTATTTAGGATAACTAAGTTGTTAAGCACATAGGTGAATCAGCAAGTGGAATCAGCAACTGATTTTGGCAATAAATCTCTAACATTTCAGGGCTCTTTGACATCAAATCATGTCAGATGCTAGCACCCTGCATAAACATTCACAGTTATCTTTGATAATTCACTCTTATGGCAAATTGACTGTAACCCAAGAGTATTAAAAATATTTGAATATACAGTACTCCTGAAGCATAGTATTGTAATTAGACGAGAGGGACCGAAGTCTAGCTTCATAAAGGGAACTTTAACTCTCTTAAATGCCCCTTCTGCCCACTGGAATTCATAGCCCACAGTTAGGTACCCAGCCTTTTTGTACAATGCATGGGGAGAGCTAGACACTAAATTTGCTCAGACATGTTTATAACTTTTTTCTGAAAATCTGACAAAAATCAGCACTTGGACTATTCTGGGTTTTGGTAAAATAAATTACCTACCAAGCAAAACAGGACATTTCCTCAAAGCGGTCTTAAGAAAGAATTTTATAATGATGATATATGGAGATACCAGTGATTAAAGCTAAAAATGTTTGACACTTATGTGAATCTAGCCAGAGAACATATGCAAAAGTCATAGCACTTATCTAAGCATGGAAGTCTGAAAATATTTAGATAATGTCTAGAACTATTAATTGGTCAGCACGTTATTACTTTATATAGTCAAATCAGTTGAATATACAGCTGAAAAAGGAGCGAAGAGAGTTTGATATCCATTCATGAAATGTAAAAGTAGGTCAATCTCAGGATTAAAAGCATGGAGCTGTTAGGATAAAGTGTGTTCATACTCCAAACCATGGTATTCTGAACAGTCCTAGGGCTTTGCTATTGGACAGAAAAGGAAACTTGAAAAAAAATCTTTCCACCCTTTCCCCACTCAAGAAATAAATGTATGGAGCAATTTAGTAGGCAATATTATTAGAATGGAGATTTCGATGTCATTCAGAATTATTCTTCCCGTAATTAGCACTTGTCACTATTGTAGTAATTGTTAAAATGTGCTATGCAATTTTAATTTGCTACTAATTCTAAGATTAGGATTAAGGGATTTTGTTGTGCTTCCTTTTCCTTAATTTATTTAATTTAATAGGAAACACATAGACCAATAAAATATCATGAGTGTTCTAAATCTACATAGCTATTCCAATTAGATAATATATGTGATTAAATATACATCCAAATAGTTAGAGTGAATTCCTTCCATTATGAATAGAAGATGCTAAATACTGCAGAAATTTTTTTTTCTCCTATGGAGAGTGTGGGGGATTGATTTGTACAAGACATAATAGATAATAATTAGAACTAGTTTCCTTTCATATTTCCCTTGGTAATTAAGGGTATGGTCTGTTGGCTGTTTCTCCTTTACCCTGAGCTAATACATTTGAACTGGAAAAACTGCACAGGAATGTTGGCTGCCAACTAGGAAACTCCTTTTTGAGTCAGAATGAGCACTGATTGTGTAGATCCTACTGGGACTGGAGCTAACACATTATAAAGCTTCCTCCTGTCTTGAAAGATTACTAGTTTGTAAAATGAGGCAGATTAAGATTTATTGGGGCTCTGAGCAGAAAGAACATCTGGGTCCCTCACATCCTTTCACCACCATGGATTCCCATCTGTTGCTCTACTCTTTCTTCCCAAGAACTTGCCCCCTATCTTTTCCAGAAGCTGGGATGTGATAAAAGCTGCTCAGCGAGCCCTGGATAACATGCGCTTGGGGACAGACATATAGGCAGGGGGTTTCTTTGGGCACCCAGTGCCCCACTCATGCCAGGTTGAGAGTCTGGGGCTCCTAACAGCTAGTTTCTCTGGGTGGCTCTTACCACAGCTTAGGTAGTAGTCTCCAAACTGGGGGTGGGGGTGGTGCACATCCCCCTAGGGGAGGTACCCTCTAACTTGCATGATAGTGTGGCCCCATAACTACTTAATGAGCCCTGTCCAGTCAGGGACTCAAGGCTCTGTGCACAGAGCTGCCTGGCTGGGGGAAGGGCTCCGTGTAGGGCCATGCTGCCACATAGCTTAGAGAGAACATTGCCCCTGGGGGCATGGATGAACATTCAGGATGGCATATGGTGGGGCAGAAAGAGAGGCAGGAAAGGGGCTTGTATCAGCTCTGTGCTGCAGGGGGAGTTGGGGTCCCTCTCAGACCAACTCCATATGGTGCAGGGCCAGCTCTGCCCTGTGTAGCGGGGACAAGCAACATCTCCATCTCTGTGTGGGGGTAGGGGGAATAGGCTTACCCTACTTCAGGCTTCATCTTTCAGCTAGACCAGAGCGTGAGGTGTCAGGGAAGTGGAGGAGTAGGGTTGAGAGGCCAGAGTTCTGGTGCTCCTGTGGGCCCTTAAATTGGATGAAGCTCCTGACCGCAGGTCCTAATGGGTCATTCAGTAATCAGCCACTGTTTGTAAGCTTCATTTAGGTAGAGGCTAGCTCTTCTTTTGGAGGCTTAGGATGGGAATGAAGTTAGCCTGGCTCAGGTAGAGAGGCCTCTTTCATCCTTAAGATTGATGTTATGTCTACAAAGAGGTTGTAAGTAATGGTGTAATTTAATTTGGTTTAATTAAACCAGTGCAACTTTTGTGGTAAATTCTTTAATAGCAATTTAAAACTGCTTATATCCGTTTAGCCAGCACCACGTTTGTAAGTCGAAGTTAGATCAATATGGCAGGTTTAAAATTATATGAAAGAGCCATCACAAAAACTTGCACTGGTCTAATTATATTGCTATAAAATTACTCATTTGTACTGTTAAAATTTTGTGTGTAGACCAGATTCGAGTTTAGCCTGGAAGTTTGGCAGTGGGCTGCCCCGCGCTTTAAAGTATCTCTTTAGTCTTGACAAATCTTATTCAAACTTATTTACATTTATTTTCACTGTATTGTAATGCTCTTGTATCTTTTTATGTTCCTTTCTCTTTTGCAATATCCAAGGCTGTGTCTAGACTACACTTCTCTGTCAACAGAGCGATGTAGATTAGGCACGTCGAAATTGCTAATGAAGCAGGGATTTAAATATCCCATGCTTCATTAGCATAAACATGGCCACCGCTTTTTTTTTTAAACTGAGCTTTTAAAAAAACACAACAGCAGTCTAGAAGGGGATTTGTCGAAAAATAAACCCTTTTTCGAAAGATCCTGTAAACCTCATTATTGAGGAATACAGGATCGTTCAAAAAAGGATTTATTTTTCAACAGATCCCCATCTAGACCGTGGTTTTTTTCCGAAAAAGCTATGTTTTGGAAAAAAGCGGCAGCCATGTTTATGCTAATGAAGCATGGGATATTTAAATCCCTGCTTCATTAGCAATTTCAACGTGTCTAATCTACATCTCTCTGTTGACAGAGAGGTGTAGTCTAGACCAGTGGTCCCCAACGTAGTGCCCATGTGGTGTCTGGGCGGTGCCGGCCCCTGGGCGTGCAGCGTATGGGTGGCCCTGCCCCCGGGTGCACGGCGAAAAGGCTGTGCTGGCTCCGGGCGCACGGCGTATGGGCATCCCCACAACTAGGCACGCGGCACAGGAGCGGCGCCGGCCCTGGGCGTGTGGCGTATGGGCTGTCCCACCCCTGGGGGTGTGGCACAGGAGCGGCGTTGACCCTGGGAGTGCGGCGCATGGATGACCCTGCCCTCGGGCATGTGTGCGGCTCCACCCACAGGCGTGTATGTGGCCCTGCCCCTGTGTGCCTGGCACGTGAGTGGCCCCGCCCCCGGGCGCCCGGCAGCCCCAAAAGGTAGGGGACCACTGGTCTAGTACCCCAGGTCTACAACTCACAGTTTCCATATATTACATCTATGTATGATAAATCCTACCATTGTTATCATCCAGATGCAATGTAATGGCTGAAATTCCATATGCTCTGAACTCAGAACATTTAAGATCAGAACAATTACAACGTATTCCTCTTGTGCATATTACTTTTACCTGTGTAGTTGTGAGAATATTTCTATCATAATTAAAAATAGAAAGCTTACTCTTCCCTCTGCTTTTTTGTTTGTTTATTAGGGTAGTCTGCACAAACCAGAAATTAAACTTGAATCGCTAAAGGAAGATATTAAGGAATTTCTGAAGACCTCAGGTTTGTAATAATTCATGCAATTTAATTGGTGAATCTGTAGATGTATAAACATTCTATGAATAAATATAGCTCTAATGTTCTGTAATTCCAGATTAGAATGGACTAGGGATATTAAAATGCCGTTATTTTACTAATTGAGTTGTCAATAGGGGAGCACAGCTGGCTCAATCCCAGCTTGCATGGGACTGAACCCCATTGCAGCTCTGCAATTTAAAATGTAGTAGGAGCCCAGCATCCTGCCCCTCAGCTCCTACTGCATTTTAAATTGCAGAGCCGCAGCGGGGTTTGTCTCGGTATGAGCTGGGACTTAGGGACTGCTGCTGGCTGAGCAGGTACCCTACCTGTCTGTGGTGACTGACTGGGGACAGGGGCTGCTGCTGGAGCAGCCTCCCCTGTCTCACCCCCACCCCATGCTGCTGCTTCTATAGCAGCAAAGGGGCGGGCAGGTGGCATTGCAGAGACAGTGCTGGGGAGAACTGGCTTTTAAGCCAGTTCTCCCCAGCACTGGCTCCTGCTCCCCACCCTCTTGCTGCCTCTAATTTGGAGACAGTAAAGGGACGGGGGAAATGAGAGTAGTCAACTGCTTGCTTATATCCCTAGAATGTACATGCTCTTTTTTTAAAATGTTGCAAAGCAGTAGATCTTGAAAGCATTGCAAACTAGGGCTCAGACTGTCTTCTTTTTAAAACGCTAGGGGTCTGCACCTCCTGCAACGCTCACCAACCCACCACTCTCAAGGGGCAGGCAACCCCAGCAAATTGTCTCTTATTTCAATTCTATTTCGAAATAGCTTATTTTGAAATTTGGCATGTCTACACAGCATCAAATTTTGAAATAATGCACTATTTTGAGACATGCCTTAACCTTTGTGGAACAAGGATTACAGGGATGCCAAAGTAGCGCACCCATTATTTTGAAAAATATTTTGAAATAACGGGCAGCTTGTTAAGACTCTAGGTAGCTATTTCAGGATACCTCTGGTATCCCGAAATAGCTGCACTGTGTAGACATACCCCAATTTAGAAAGCAACTTAAGCTGGTGAATTTTCAGCATGTGAGTAGTCCCACTGAAGTTAGGCATATGATTGACTACCTTGCTGAAGAACATTATAAATTCTGCAAGGCAGAGGCTTGATATTCTACAGTACTTTTCAGAAGCCTGTCTGCAGATGGAAAAACTCCTTGCACAAATAAAAGAATCTTAAAATACAAAGCTTACAGAAAATTGATTTTACCATTTTTGAAGTCTAGGAACATTTTTTCAGACTATTAAAACAAGAACATAGAACCATAGATTTGAAGGGACCGCAAAGGTCATTTAATCTACCCACCTGTCAAAATGTAGGATTTGTTGTGTCTATATCACAGTTCTCAAACTGTGGGTCAGGACTCCAAAGTGGGTCACAATCCTGTTTTAATTGGGTTGCCAAGACTGGTGTTGGATTTGCTGGGGCCCGGGGTCAAAGCCTGAGGGATTCAGCCCTGGGTAGCAGGGTTTAGATGGAAGGTCCCCCTCCTGGGGCTGGTTACTGTGCAAGGAAGCTTAAGATCTCTCCTCTGTACCATGCAAGACAGATGGTTACTTTGTCTTTTTTTTAGAAACCTTTAATGAAGGAGCGTTTGTAACTTCCTTGGGCATTCTGTTCCGTTGTCCTACAGTTCTTGTGATTAAGAAGTTTTTCCTCAGATTTAATTTAAATCTATTATGCTGTAGTTTGAACCCATTGCCTTTTGTTCTGCCCTCTGTGGCAAGAGAAAACATTTTTCTCCATATTTTTTATGCCAGCCTTTAAAGCAGAGTTTCCCAAATGTTGCTCCATGAAATCCTGGGGTTCCGTGAAAAAATTCAGCTCCCCTGCCCCATGCAGAACCTGTAGGCAGCTCCCATCGGGGCTTTGCTGGCGAGTATGGGTTTCTGGGGCCATGTGACTTTGGCCGCTCTGCCACCCACTGCGGCTGCCCCATCCCCGTGCATGGCGTGGCCTATCCTCACTCTGCAGGACTGCCCTGTCCCGGTGTCTTGCAGCCGCCTTCTCCTCATGTGGAGGCGGCAGCTTTTACAGTGGCGGCGGCTGCTCACAAAAAAATTCTACTCCCCCACCCCCTGCAGAACCCGGAGGCAGCTCCCATTGGGGCTTTGCTGGCAGGGATGGGTTTCTGGTGGTACACAGCTTTGACCGCTCCAACGCCCACTGCAGCTGCCCCACCCCCGCACATGGCACAGCCCCCTCCTCACCCTACAGGACTGCCCTGTCCTGGTGCCTTGCAGCCTCCTCCTCCTTGTGTGCAGGCGGCAGCTTTTACAGTGGCCACTGCTGCTGGGAGGGGGAAGAGGAGGAATGGCCAGAGCCAAGGATCCACTCCCAGACCTCGGCATTTTTAAACTGCTGCCTGCATGGAACCCTGCTTGGGCTCTGCTGCCACCCTGCCCCCTTGGGGCATGCTCAGGCTCACTGCCCCCCATGTGCTGCTGTTCTCTCTCCCCTGTGACCCTCCCAGCCTGCTGGGGAAGTGGCAGAGTTTGATCTGGTGGGAAAGGTCAGGGTTTCTACACCTTCCTCCGCCCTGCCAGCGGGAAGCATGTCCTAGTGCTGCAGCTTCACTGGGTTCCCTGCTGCATGGGGGAGGGGAAGACTGCCCCTGCTGCCTGGAGGCTTTCCCTGCTGCAGCAGGGTGCCAAACCAGGTAAGTGTCCCACCTTATGCCCAGACCCCACACCCATATCCCCCTAACTCCCCTTCCCCCACCAAGAGCCTGCATTCCCAGCTTGCTCTGACACCCTTCCCCAAGACTCCTCTTGTACCCTCCCTTCTGGCCAGACACCCTGCCCCAAGACTCCTCTTGTACCCTCCCTCCTGGCCTGATGCTCTGCCCCTCCTGTGTTCTTCCTCCTGGCCAGGACATTGCAGATCATCTTTGTGATTTATACACAAACATCATGAAGTATTTTCCAACCATAAATGACAACAATAACTGGATTTAAAATCCATTAAGTATAACATGGAAGTCAGTCAGCTTTTCTGTGCAAGATTGTGAAAACCTAATCGAAATCACTTCAGATGGCCAATTAATACAAAAATTTAAAGTCGTTTCTCTGATTACATTTTGGGGCGGCTTATGTCAAGAATATTCAGCTTTATCAAGATATGCAATTCATCAGTTGTTAACCTTCACCAGCACATACTTGTGTGAAATTGGATTCTCGAATGATGCAGCAACAAAAACAAAATACAGAAATCAACCGAATGCAGTACCAGATATGCAAATCCAATCTTTTAGTATTAAACAATATATAAAAAGAATTTGCCAAGAAAAGAAGAAAAACCACTCTTCACATTGAAAACTGACTGCCAATATAATTCATATTAGTTTTTAAGCTTTATTTTTTTGTATACATTAAATGTGATTTTTGTTTGTAAATATGTGCAATTAAACTAAATGTTGATCTCATGACCTTATTTAGCATTTGTTCATTATTATTATCCTTACTTATTTGGGGGTAGGGAGGTGTCATGGCATTCAGGTCCGGCGGCTCTTTTTTTTTTTTTTTACTTGACAAATTTTCCCTAAGGGTTCCTCGAAATTCTTCTGAGTTTAAAAGGATTCTGTGGCCAAATAAAATTGGGAGACACTGCTTTAAAGAATTTGAAAGTATCCCTCCTTAATCTCCTTTTTTTCCAAACTAAACATACCAGTTCCTTCAGCCTTTGCTCATGCTGCTTGTATTACATGTCTTGGATCACCTTTGTTGCTTTCTTCTAGATCCTTTCTAGGAGAGAGTGGGTGAGACTCCGTGGCCTGCATTGTACAGGGGGTCAGACTAGATGATCATAATGGTCCCTTCTGACCTTAAAGTCTATGAGTCTCTATATCATTTCTGTGCATTCTATACACGGCTCCAGCTGAAGCTTAATCGGAGCTGAGTAGAACACTACCATCATCTATAACTTGCATCCTGTGTCTTTTTAATGCAATCCAAAAATGCATTTGCTTTTTTTGCAGCAGCATCACATTGGTGACTCATGTTGAGGTTGTGATCCACCACAATTTACTGATCTTTCACGGCAGTGATGCCATGCCAGTTTCTCGCATTCTGTATTTGTGTGTGTTTTTTCTTCCCTATGTGTAGCACTTTACATTTGTCTTTTTAAAATTTCATTTTGTTGTCTATAGGTCAGTTCTCCAATTTATCAAATATTTTTGAAGTTTAGCTCTAGCCTCCAACTATGCAAACCCCACCCCCCCAACTCTGTGTCATCCGCAAATTTGATTAGTATGCTTTTTTTCTACATCCAGGTCATTAATAAAGACACTAGGCCCGGAACAGATCATTGTGGTAGCCTACATGAGACCTCCTTCCAATTTGGTATAGTTCCATTAATAGCTACTCTTGTTGCAGTCGTTTAACCAATTAATGGTAGTTCCAGTGAGCGTTCTTGGGATGGTGTCCAAAGCCTTGCTGAAGTCCAGATTGTGGACTATGTCCAGATTTGGACTAGTAGAAACTGGTTACTGTTTCAAAGCAGGAGATTAAGCTATTTTGCCCTGATTTGTTCTGAGTAAATACATGCTGGCTCCTAATGATCATCTCATCCTTCAGTGCAAGATCAGGTTGACTAGTCTATAGTTTCCTGGCTTCTCCTTTTCCCCCTTTTAAAAGATAGACACTGTTAGCCCTTTTCCAGTCTTCTGGGGCCTTATTTCCAGTGTGTAACAGGGCATGCTTGCCCTGCACTGGTACTGTGAGGATTTACTATACTCTCTAGGCCCAGGAGACCAGGCCCCTTCAGCCCTACTGGGCATACTCTAGGTGGAGACCAGGTGTAAAAGGAAACAGCTCAGCTCATTTAAGGCTAACTGCTGAAAAGGGAGGATACACATTGCAAGTTACAGCCTGGGAACTGTGGAAGTGCCAGTCACTGGAAACCAGAGATGCTGAGCCTCCAGAGGGTGCCCAAGGAGTGACTGAGGTGGACTACTTATTGAGCTGAGTGAAGTTGGCATGTTTCAGGGAGATTCCCTTCTGGGCATACTTGCTAATGACAGTACCCTGAGCTGGGACTAAGTCAGAGGTGGGCAATAATTTTTGGTGGGGGACCACTCCAAGATTTTGAAAAGTGGTCAAGTGCCTCACTTTTCTGTTGAGGAGATGTGGGGTCTAAGATGGAGGTTGAGTGCAAAGGATGCATGGGATAAGGGGCTGGGGTATAGGAGATGGTATAAAGTCTGAGAGGGAGTTTGGGTGAAGGAGGGGGATTGTGACCTGGGTCAGGGGATAGGGCTGAAGGGTAAGGGAGGTTCTGGCCTGGAGAATGGGCTCTAGGAGGAGATGCAAAGTCTGGGAGGGAATTGTGACTTGAGACAATAGGAAAAGAGGGTGCATACTGCAGAGGGTTTGGGTGGTGATCTGGGGCAGGGGAATGGGGGGCAGGGTCTAGGAGGGTGTTTGGGTGTAGGAGAGGATTCTGGCCTGGGGGAGATGTGTACCAGGGGCTACAGAGTCTGGGGGGGAGTTGTGACCTCGGGTAGGGGGGTATAGAAGGTTTGGATGGTGACCGGGGGAGGGAGTTAGAATGTAGGAGAGGGTGGGGTGCCAGAGGCAAGGTCTGGTTGGGAGGCACATACCTAAGCATCTCCCGGCCAGTAGTCCTGCAGCACCCCCAAGGCAGGCTGGACTCCTTGCCTGTTGCAGCCCCAGATCGTTTGAAAATGCAGCCAATTGGAGCTGAGTATTGGGCTGGGGGATGGAGAGATTACATGAAGGCTCCCCCTCCATGCAGATCAGAGAGCTCATGGACTGCGCTTTAAACCACAGCAGTTGTGAGCCTGAGGGTCCTGGCAGGGTGGTCTGCAGGCTGGATCCGGTGGCTTGGCAGGCCATATTTTGCCCAGGCCTGAACTAGGTCAATCAGGGAGGATCCATATTCCTCTACCTGGCTAACACAGACACAGAGGTGGTAGTCCGCTCCCCTGACCAGCTGCCAGATCAAACAGTCCTACTGAAGAGTGTCATTATACTGAATTAGGCCATTGGGTCACACAGATCTGAAAGTTGACAGTAAGATTGGTTCTGGCCATTGGGGTAGGGGCCTGATGCAGACAGTGGTGCTCCAGCCCAGCCAGAGCAGCCCCTGTCTGAGCTGGGCCTGGGCGTGGCATAGGCAGAGGTTGCTTCAGCTGTCCAGAGCAGCCCATGTCTGTACCTCTTCCCCTGCCCACTCCCCTGTCAAGCTTACCTGGTTAAACAATTAAACAAGATTTTACATCCCTAATGGCAATGGGCAGTTATCCTGACTCTGGTCATTGGGCCACATTAGCCCTGAGAGAGGATAGGCCTACTGACTCTTGCCACTGGGTCACATGGCCTTGCTGAGCCAGGTAGCCACACTGACTCTTACCATTAGTCCATAAATCCTGGCTAAACTGCGTGATTATATTGGCATTGGGTCCCACAGTCCTGTTGGAAGGGGTTGTTTCCCTGACATTGGTCATCAGACCATGCAACCCTGAGCAAAAGTGTGGCCATGTTCACATTTGTCACTAGGCCATGGTACCCCAAAACAAGGGGTGATTACAAAGACATGGCTGTAGGGAAGTAATTACTCTTACCCCACCCCAAGAGTGGATGGGGCTCTGAGATGTCTTCAGCTAATTGTTCAGCATCTGGGGTGAATAGCATCAGGCCCCACTCACATTAATTCAGATTAGTTAGAAGATGTCTGCTGTGGTCTTGACTTATTCCAACCTGGATTCCTTCCCCTTTGTCTATGATAACTTTGCTAGTGTCCAGTCACTTGTTACTTTGTTGTGTGAAGACTAAAGCAAATTAGGCAATGAGCAGCTCTGCTTCCCTATCATCTGCCCATACCTGCTCACCTTCTCCATTGAGTAGTGGACTTGCATCATCCTTGTTATTTTTTGACATATTTGAATACAGGCAGTCCCCGGGTTACGTACAAGATAGGGACTGTAGGTTTGTTCTTAAGTTGAATCTTTATGTAAGTCGGAACTGGCGTCAGCCGCTGCTGAAACTGATCAGTTTCAACCGCAGCTGAATCTGGACGCCAGTTTTGACTTACATACAGATTCAACTTAAGAACCCCAGGCATCCCCAAGTCAGCTGCTGCTGAAACTGATCAGCGGCTGATTCCAGG